CGCCGAGCAGGGAGCCCGATGCGGGACTTGATCCCGGGACTCCAGGATCATGGCCTGAGCCGAAGGCAGTCGCTTAACCAACTGAGCCACCCAGGTGCCCCAATTTTCTGATTTTCAATGTAGTAATGCAGAGGTGCTAATGTAATTAAAACATATACTTGAAATACTGCCCGCACTATATAGCTGAACCTTTCACTTGAAACACAACTTAGAAAAAATTAAAAAGTAAACAGTTGTTAAGTAGCAAACAGAACAATCAGCATAAGACCATTTTAGCTGTAAAAAAACCCCACTTTCAAACTTGAGACATCCGAAATTAGATATCTAGTGTTTAAATGGCCCATGTTTATATTACGAGTTAACTAGACATCTTTTAAAATGCCAGTGTGGGATGGTGAGGTTTCATCCTCGTCCTGCATCTTCATCCTGCTCTTTAATGAGACAAATGCAAAAAACTGAAAAAGTTAAGTAATCTTGGAGTTAATGTAAAATGAGGACACCTGTCTGACCAACTTACTTGGGAATCTAGTCTTGTTTGTTTTTAAGTAAACTCTACCACCAGCGTGGGCCTCGAACTCACAACCCTGAGATCAAGAGTTGCATGCTCTACCGACTAAGCCAGCCAGGTGCCCCCAGGAAATCTAGTCTTGATACTAATGTTGAAGATACTATTTCAGCTAACTTGCAATCCCACCTAGAAACATCTATAAAAAGTAATAAAAGTAAGAGTCATTGTAGAAAAATTTGAAAATATAGAAAAGAGCTGGAAAAAAATCACCCATGATTCTACCACAACTATTAACATTTAGCATAATTCTTTTCATTATTGTCCCCATGCTTTAAAAAATTACAGTTGGAATCATATTAGAGATATAGCTTGTACGATATATATACTATCTCAAAATGCTGTTCTAATATAATGACATTAAACAAGACTTCTTTGACTTATAAATATAGCAATTTACATATATCAAATTCTGAGTTCCCTAAAAAGTATTATACACTTCATAATCAGTGATCTTAAAACTTAACTGTCTTGGTATTCAGTTCGTTAGTTTTTGATAGTAGTCTTTTCATTGTCTGCGTATCACACTTATATTTACCTTGAGTATTTTTAGCATTTTCAAATGCAGAAAAATTAATCTTTGGACTAAAATATCTTGGTTACCTCTTAGCCATGCCTCTGTTACAGTGAATCTGTTTTCTAACAAATATATTAGGGTGTGAGGATAAAATATGTAAGGATAAAATCAGTTTATATGGACATGCAGCCGATGTACTTATTTAAATATTTAAAACTCTATCCTTGTATCAATTTAAATCACTATAAAACTCTGTGAGGATATTTGAGTCAGAAGAGTTGGGTAGGGATCCTAACTTCTTTTCCTCACTCTGTGACCTCAGGTGAACTAATCTTTCTCTGGTTTGTTCCCTAATGGAAAATTCTGGAAGAGGGAAACTTTCCACTGTGAAATATCCAAGTCGGGTAGGGAGTAAGCTTCTCCAGTGAGCCCATCTCTGCTCTTTCGCATATAATCTTTCAAAAATAAGATGCCTGGCTCCCTTCCCCAGACACTGGGACCTGAGCATCAATTCTTAAAAGCTTCCGGTGACTAATGTGCAGCAAAGTTTGGGAGCCACTGTCTATGGTCAACTTTGTGAATGTCTGCTAGTTCCATGTGAGAATCTGTGTCATTTGTTAGTTCTGCTGGTTTGTTTGTGAGAGTATGTTAAAAGTTAGAAAACCAGTTATGTTTTCAACCAGGGGTCACAAACTGAAATGCCCTCAGGAACCAGGGAGCCAGAGTGAGCGGAGGGAAGGTAGCAATTGTCTAAACAGGCAGGGCCAGCTCTGCTCCAGCTGCTGTGGCCAGGCAGAAATTGTCAGTTCTCATTTTTTTTCTAGAAAAAATGGAAATGTATATTTTTATATGAAACTTTCCAATTAAAAAATTGGGGGTCACGTGTTATTTCATAGGCTAAATAAAACGTGTCTGTAGGCCAGATTTGGCCAGGGATTGCCAGTGTGCAACTTCTGTTTTTTAAACTTGGTATTCATAGGACTAGAAGTGTACTAATCTAACTAATTACTAGTTAATCTAATTAACTAATGTATGTTAAAGTTGGCATTTTTCATCATATTAGGTCTCGGGCCTATATGGACTCCTCTCAAGTAAATTTTGATATTAGATAATTCTATGATTTGAAGACCTCAAGCTTTGATCTCTTCACTCCCTCCTTCACTCATTCCAGCATTCCAGCAGGGTATCCCCACTGAGGGGGTTGGCTGTCATCTCCATTTTGATGGTGGATCCCCAGAGTACCTTCAAGGAGCAGAACCCTGCTGTCATGCTGGGAGTTCTAACCAAGACTAGAGTTTCACATACACGACGCCACATCCCGAAAGATCGCCCAGACATAGAGCCAGTGTTCTCCGGTGCTGGCTTCACTCAGCCAAGGTGTGGACCATGGTTCACCAGTGGCAAGGCAGTGGGGGGCAGGTGTGGAAGGGCACCAGAGGCCCAAAGCACTCCTGCATTTCCAGGGAAAAACAAAATCACTGGATGACTGTTTTCTCAACTTTGTTCTTTGAATTAAAAGTTCTCAGTTATTCACATGCAAAATGCCTGTAAGTGAAACTTCTGTTTGTCTAAGTCACCTAACGAAGAAAAAAAGCTGAAAGACATCATTTATATTGAGTGATAATAATATAGTTATGTTAGGATATCATGATCAAAATACCTGTTTTTGAGGAAATCTCTAATTTTTTTCTTTTTGTATTATTTTTAGATCATGATGCTGGGGATAGAGTTCTGACCCCTGAAGAAGCAGGCATGGTTCCAGAAGAATTAAAATGGGCATCCAGAACTGAAAGTATGAAATTAAGTGGAAGAGAAAGAGAATTGGACAATTCAACAAGCAGTTTAAGAACACAACCAAATCCTCAGAAGCTCTGGGAAGATGGCCCAGAATTACCTTCGATCTGTAGCTCTTTAGCACCCACTAGTGGGCATTTGTTAAACAACGAGGATAAAGTAGAAATAGATGAAAATCATTTTACAAAATCTCACGGTCGACTATCACCCCAAATCCAGCCAGCGGGAAATGTGGGAAAGCTTCATGGTGTCACGTCTGTAAAGTTGTGTCGTAAAGAGTTACGTCAGATTTCTGCTTTGGAACTATCATTACGACGTTCCAGTCTTGGAGTTGGGGTTGGATCTATGACTGCTGATTCCATTGAAGTAGCTAGGAAACCAAGTGACTTAAAAACTTAGACCTTTAATAATAGAACTTTTAATTTGGTAGAGGTGTAAGATTCCTTTGTCTAACCTGTTAGAAATGAAAGTTTATGCTCACTAGCTCTTCCTTCAGGATGAAGAAGGGGAGGAAGGAATCATTTTGTATACTGTAGATGTGTATATCTTCTACGGTATATTTGGGGAGTTTTAATTGTTTGCAGATATTTCCATAATAACCAAATGAACATGTATTCTAATACTGTCAAGTAATAGAACATTTAAATATTTCCACTTACAAATTTGCTTAAAATCCAGGCATTTTATAAAGAAGAAAACAAAGAGTGGAATAGTAATATTGCTATATAATGTAGAAGTATGTTATAATACATTAATTACACCTTATAAGTTTATAATACTGTTATCAAATATATTTGTTATTTTGAAGAGGTCCAGTTAAATATTGCTTGTATGAGAGGGGGAGTTACCTGCTGCATATCTTTTGGTACAGCTGAAAATCTGTGCCAAAATGCAGTCTGTGGGTTTAGGGCAACTAACTAGATTTATGGGTTGAAGTTAATTTATGGTCCTCAGAGTCCACAGAGCTTGAGTGATCAGTCTTGACTTTTTAAACACGGTTCTCTGCTCTTTTTCTGGGATTGCTTTTAGAATGTCATGTTGTTGGTTTGCTAATATTATGGAATATAAGTTTTCATCTCACCCCTACCCTGTCTATTCAATGTGTCTCTCCCTAGGCTACTGGACTAGGGGAAAAGGATGCGGTTCCATGCCACAGGGAAACAGAATAATGGTAACGCATTCTAGCGTTTCAAGGAAGAGAGATCTGGTCACATGGAGTACGCCTGTAAAGCTTGAAGCCTGGCCAGAGGTTCTTTAGCTAACAATCTGATGGGCCTAATCGGACATTTTTCTCTAAAGCCTGCTTACTTGGGTCTTGCACACAGGCAGGCCAGACTGCATTGGGGCTGTAAATATGTAAATGAAATTTTTCTTCAAGATTTTTTCAGTCTAAATCTTATTATATAATATAAACTTCAGTTTGGAATTAAGAACTGAAACACTGATCTGCCCAACAAATAGTTTGTACTTTTTCATCATACTTTTTAATCATAGAAAACATCCCCTTATAAGGACCAGAGGTATTCTGTTACTTTTTGTTACTTGTGTTGTTATTTTTGTCACTTTTCCAAATTTTCACTTGTAAAATAAAGTTGTTTCTTAAACTAACTACTGTTTGGGTGGGGCAGTAGTAAAGCTGCCCTGACTTATGGATGCTACTCAGTTCTTGCAGACTCCAGGTTTTCTTAGGTGATGCTGCTACTAATATTTTTCTTTTGTTCTTGTCCTTTGTTGTTATTGACCCTGCCCATCTTACCTAAGACCCCAACTGCCACTCTGTGCTCAAATATTTCTGGTTTCCTTTTTCTGGTTTCTAGTGCCTAGGGAGTAGGGTTCCTTGGTTCCCATTGCTAAAAACCAGTTCCTAGAGGGGAAGAAAACCAAACCAAAACAAACTTCTAAATCAGTCAATAGTTTCTGTATCTCTTAAGCATGGTACTGAAATTTATTTAAATTGTGGGTTAAATAGACTGCCATGGACTTAGCTGGGAATTGAACCACAGTGTAAAGCATTGGCCCAATGAGAAACTGCTTTAGACAAGGAATTTACAAACTAATTCAGAAAATGTGTTTTTAGCAGAGACTATTTCAGGTCAGATTCTGGTTTTAAGCTAGTTTCTTCTTTTTGCCTCTAGTTTGTATGATACATACTTAGTATATATCATATGTAATATGCGTGTGTATATACTATATATAGATAATGGCAAAGGCCAGTATCTTAACAAAGCACAACAATGATATATTTATTAATGAATACATATTTATTAATGAAGGTCCTAATTATAAATTCCTTATAAAATTAAGTAATAATTTAGAAAGAGAATATATTGTAACCCTGGATTCTTAGTTTGCCTAAGAAATTGACACATACTTGTTTTACCTGTGGAAATAGAAATAAATTTTCTAAAAGCCAAAGCACTACTCACAAAGCAAGAAAATTTATGTCAAATCAACAGTGATTAGATTTGATAATGCAAATGTGAACTGACTGCTAAATAAGAAAGGTACAATTTTTTTCTTCCTTTGGGTTAAACATATATCCATAGGCTATGATAGATTTCATGTACATACAGAAACACACACATATAAATAATGTCCTGAATAATAAATACATTCTGGAAGTGAATCTCTTATCATTCTAGTTTAGTGCCCTCACAAAGGAAAGAAAAATTAAGGCACCTCCCTCAAGGCAAGTAAAATTATTTTTTTTACATATACTAGTAATAAATTTTCCTCTGTTTCATGTGCTTTTCTTAGTCTAATCATTTTGTCACCGTGTTTGCCTTTTTGTATGCACATAAAATATGTCTGTGGGTTTTTTTTTTGTTCATTATGGGTTTTTTCCCCCACTTATAACGGAGCATTTGGAAGGAAACATATTTGCCTCTGTGAAGTACTGGTTCCTTCCCTAACTTCAGAGTGTTAAAGATAACAGGGTTGGAGAATTATATAAATATGGGAACTATGGGTGGCAAGAATATCAGTGAAGGTGATTTTGTGCTTTAATGTTTGTTTTCTTCTGCTAATGGGTTTTTTCAGGTCAATGGTGTGATAAGTGCTCATTTAAGAATAAGTGTCTTATATGAAAGAAGTTAATAGAAGTCTTATACGAAGTCTTAGAGTGAATTGCTAGGGAGTCAGATCCTTTTTGGGAGTTTGATTCTATAGTCAACATAAATTCTCATGTACCAAATGCAAGAATGACATGTTTTGCTCTTTCAGTTATTTCCTTAGGCACATATCTGTGACTATTTAAAACACTGGAGTATCTTTCAGTATCTGAAAGTTCAGTGTCCACTTGTCCACCATTCTTCTCTCAACTTCGCTGGAATATTACGAAATATTAATTATGTATATTTTACATTTAAATTTATAACAGGCCTCAGGTTGCCTACATTCTTCTATGTTTATATTTTCGACAATTGGAAATGAAGGTGGGAATGAGATCCTTCCACAGTAACCATCTCAAATGCATTGGATTTGTAATATTTTTGAGCTTGTATGGACAGTAGTGTTTTCAAAGTAGTAGAAACATCTGCCCAAGGGGGAGGAATATTTGGTCACTGTCATTGTTTACCTTGATGCTGACAATAAAAAGCAAACTGACTTTTGATAAGTTTTGATGTTTTAAATCCTCTACAAACAATGCACCCCTTCATCACCTGCACTAGGAGTGACTGCTTCCTTGCTGTTGGGATGCAGGGCATACATGGCACCAAATACGAGAATGGCAGTTGATTTTTATAATGACTCCAACAATACCCCAACATGGAAGTAATTAGAACAAGAGAAATTATGAAAAGAAAGCTCAGAAAAACTTGATGTTATAATATTGACTTTTGGTATTTTCCATAGTTCTTTTTCCTTTAAATATTTTTTCCCTAGGAATTTCCAAAATGAATCAAGAGGACAGCCAGTATGTGAAATGCTAGCAGTATAATATGATTGAACCTAAATGTATAACTCTTAGGTTCTATGAGTAAATTATTACACACACTTCTACTGAATTATCTCTACATTACTTTAAAAGAAAAATACAACAATCTCATAGACTGTTATGAGCAAGATCCTTATAGACCAAAGAACGAGATCATTCATGCAGAAGAGTAGAAAACTATTTAAACATTTTTAAAAAATTCATATTTATGATTGTTGGAAATTTAAAACTCCATTTTTTAGTTAATACTTGTGTAATTAAAGTAGCACAAAAGAAATGTATTTTAAAAACAATGTTTGTATACTGTATTAATGTGTTTTCAAGTTTTTTTTTTTTTTTTTTAAAGATTTTATTT